TCTTACATCAGTTTTTGGTTTATTTAATATTACTCTTCTTATTTAGATTTTTAATTGGTTTTATAATATTTCAGGTAATTAAATAAGTATAATTTGTTTCTTTTCAGTGAACTTTAAGATGTTTACTATAATTTATCTTCTTTTTTCTGTAGTTGATTTTCTGAATTTACTGACTTTTGGTTTGTTACCATATCTTTTACAATGTAGTTCGTTGAGGAATGACGGCTGGATCAGTAATTACTGATATAAACACGCATTATTCTATTCCAAAGCATGGAACTGTATTAATTGCATTATTTCCATCTTCCTAAATTTTACTTTTCTATCACTTTGTGTTTTTTTTTACCTGATTTGAATTAGTGTTAATATGTTTTTTTAATGATTTCCTTAACAATTTTTTTTTCTATTAATAGTTTCGCTTTAGTGTTGGAAACTCTTAGATTGCTGTATGGTGTGATTTGTGCATGTATTATTTGTGTTTTGTTTATATATATAAATATATATATATATTAAAATATCAATTAAAATTTTAATTAAGTATAAATTAAAACATGAAAGGAAAGGGGGAGAGTTAAGTTGTAAGGGAATTAAGTATTATTCAGTCTCCCCGCCCCCCCTCCTGTTGCATTTTCATATTATTTTGAATCATTTTCACAGGCAAAAAAAAAAAAAAAAAAAATTAATTCCTTAAAAGAAAAAAAAAAAAATATCGGTTTTTATAAATGACGCCATAAGAGGAAATTCGTTGGAACATCTTTACTGAGGATAAAAAGTGAACTTGTTAGAATATGAAAAATTTACCTTGAAAAAAATTGCAGTCGGTGGGATTCGAACCCACGTTGGGAAATATACCCCCAGACGCATTACCCGGTTTTAAATCTGGTGCCTTGACCACTCGGCCACGACTGCTACTCCGGAAAGCGGCAATATAGCTATAAAAATAGTTGACAAATGCTGTACTGCATGCTTGTCTGAAGTGTGGTCTAAAAGCATTTAAAATGCGGCCCAAACTTAAATTATGAAAATATTTAAATTTACATATTCAGTTGAAAAGTCTTCAAAAAGTAATTGTACTAATTTTAAATTTTTTTCGTTAGCCATGGACGAAAGCACTAACCCTTCTGATACGGCACAATTGGCAATTTTTATTAGAGGAATCTATGAACATTATAATATCACGCAAGAAATTGTTGCTTTAGTAATCGTTAAAAGACACAACCAAATCCGTAGATTTATTCGATGAAAAGACAATTATGTATAAAAATTTATCAGCTATCATAACCGATGGAGCCCCTGCCATGGTTGGTAAAAATGTGGGACACGTTAAAACGGTTAACAGTGAAGCCGTCGCTGCCGCCAATACAATCTTGATGGCATATGATTGTAATATACATCAGGGTAATTTATGTGGAAAAATTTTAAAAATAGAAATTAAGCGTTGTTTTAAAAACCATTAGCTTTATAAGAGCAAAAGGACTTAATCATAGACAATTTGAAGAGTTTCTTAAGGTAATGGGCACTGAATTTGAAGATGTTATTTATTATACAGAAGTAAGATGACTCAGTAATGGGAAAATGCTCAAATGATCTTACGATTTGAGAACTGAAATAAAAATAATTATGGAAACAAAATGGAAACCTGTGATTGAATTTAAGGACGAAGATTGGATTTTATATTAAAATTTTTTAGTAGACTTAATAGAACATTTGAATGATTTGAATTTGAGACTCCAAGGAAAAAAATAAATTTATTAATAATATGTTCCAAACAATTACACCATTTGAAAGAAAATTAAAATTTGGCATAATCAAATAAAAATAAAAGATTTGACACATTTCACTACTTGGGCTGCACATAAACCTGTGAGTTGCACAAAATGTGCTGCATTAATTTTTGATTTATTTCAAGAGTTTGAAAATAGATTTAAAATTTTTTGAAAAAATGAACAGTATTTCAACATATTTTCTTCCTTATTTTCTCTATAAATAAATAAATTGCCTTCAAATCTTCAAATGGAATGCATTGAACTGCAAAGTTACATTCAACTGGAAAAAAAATTTGGGAATATCTCTTTACTGGAGTTTTAAAAATATTACCTACCCCGCAATAAATATCCTATTTTTCACAATCATGCTTTATTAATGTCTTCAGCTTTTGGCAGTACTTATATTTGTGAACAATTATTTTCAAGAAGGAAGTTTACAAAAATCAAAAATAGGACAAAGATCACTGACAAACATCTTGAAAATGCTGTAAGAATTGCTACCTCGTCTATTGAACCTGATATCGATTTGCTTGTTCAACAAAAGTAAATTCATCCATCTCATTAATTCGAATTTTCCATCTTTATGAATTCAAACTAAATGAAACGAAACTTTTTCAAATTTAAAATAAATACGTACTTATACATATCTAATTGAAATTTAAAAAGTTATAATAAAAAAAAGTTAATTTATTTTACTAAAACTACATAGAGTTAATTTTTATTTCAATTTGTTGAAAAAATATTGTATGTGCGGCCCAGCAAATTTTTTTTTACTATGAGGCCCAGATTTTTTTTTTTTTTTTTTTTTTTTTGAAATTTTGCCCTAAAACGGTCATTTTAAACGAACTCAGACTAAGAGCTGCAAACAACACCTAAAATTATACTCCTAAATTGATTAAAAAAAAAAAAAACCCTCACACGGTTGCATTAGAACATAAACACATGTATTAAGGTTATTAAACATATTTTTCATTTCTTTCACTTCTAACACAATTTACCGTATACTTTCCAAAAGCTCTAATTTGACGTCGTTTAGAATGATCTTTAAAAGATCCTTAAGTATACATTCGAAACGCAATTTTTTTCGCGATATTTTCAGTCATATTTTCATTTTCGTCCACTAGTTTTAGTCGTATTTAATGATTCATAAATAACCAAAAAATAAACTTATGTCAAGAGTGATAAAACAGACACTTTTTTTTCTTCTTCTGAGGCATCTCTTATGTAAATAATAGGCAATTTATATTTGGAAGCTCTATTTACCAAGAGTGGGGGGGAAGGTATATTTTCTTCTTTTAATCCCTGAAGGGATAATTTAGAGGGATGAAAAAATTCCTCTCGTTTATTTTTACCAATTTTTTGGTCATAAATAGATCTGACGGAATTATTTTGGTCCATTTTGCTTCCATCTCATTTCCACAAACGATTTTTTTTTAGTAGAATATCATTAGAACGAAATATGGGAAGTTTAATAATATCAGTGGCTCATAGATAAATATAAAGAAAGAGAAAAGAAAACGATTTTGCTGAAATAAAACATCTGCTCATATTTAATGCAGATGAAAATTTCGAATTATACATAAAGGAAGAATAAGTTTAATTCGGCGGAAAGGTCGATTATAAAGTTTTAATCACATGGCTTTTTAAAAAATTATTTTAAGCAGATGTTAAAGTTTAAAGTGCAATAAAAGTCTATTATTGGTCAGTTAGAATTAATGGGGAAAAATATATGAATTAAGAACGAGAATTAAAAAAAATCATTAGGTAAAAATTTTCGGAGATAAATGTCCATTTACGGGCAAATTGATATCAGCAGAAATTGATAAAAATATGATTAGCATATTATGCTATATACTTTGTTATTGTTATTTCAGATAACACTAATTAATTAAATAAACTTCTAATTAATTAAATTAAATTAATTAATTAAATTAACTAATTAATTAAAATATATCAATTAACACTAATTAAACCTCACAAAACGTCACATTAAAATGTTTAGACGTATTATTTGTAACCTGAAAGGAAATGAAAGGATATTTGTTGTATATAGCTTAAAGAATTGACCCTAGTATTTGTATATTTACAGATGAAATATTAATTTATATAAGTATCAATCAAGTTCGAATTACGGCTTATTAAAATTAAATTGTAATTTCAATAAAAACTAACAATAATAATAATAAAAACTTATATTACTGATCCCTGGTGTAGCAGTCGTGGCCGAGTGGTTAAGGCACCAGATGTAATACCGGATAATGCGTCTGGGGGTATATTTCCCTTCGTGGGTTCGAATCCCACCGACTGCAATTTTTTTCATATTCTAACAAGTTCACTTTTTATCCTTAGTAAAAATGTTCCAATGTATTTCCTCTTCTTCCTCTTATGGCGTCATTTATAATAACCGATTTTTTTTTTTTTTCCCTATTAAGGAATTAAATTTTTTTTTTTTTTGCCTGTGAAAATGATTAAAAAAAATATGAAAATCCACCACGAGGGGGGGGGGAGACTGAATAATACTTAATTCCCTTACAACTTAACTCTCCCCCTTTCCTTTTATGTTTTAATTTATACATAATTAAAATTTTAATTGAGATTTTAATATATATATATATTTATATATAAACAAAACATAAATAGTACATGCACAAATCACAACATACAGCAATCTAAGAGTTTCCAACACAAAGGCAAAACTATTATTAGAAAAAAAAAATATTTAAGGAAATCATTAAAAAAACATATTAACGCTAATTCAAATCAGGTAAAAAAAAACACAAAGTGATAGAAAAGTAAAATTTAGGAAGATGGAAATAATGCAATTAATACAGTTCCATGCTTTGGAATAGAATAATGCGTGTTTATATCAGTAATTACTGATCCAGCCGTCATTCCTCAGCGAACTACATTGTAAAAGATAAGGTAACAAACCAAAGGTCAGTAAATTCAGAAAATCAACTACAGAAAAAAGAAGATAAATTATAGTAAACATCTTAAAGTTCACTGAAAAGAAACAAATTATACTTATTTAATTACCTAAAATATTATAAAACCAATTAAAAGTCTAAATAAGAAGAGTAATATTAAATAAACCAAAAACTGATGTAAGA